GCGGATAGAGCTCCCCTGAACTCTTGTTGTCTCCAGGCTTTTGTAGGTTCCAGTGTGTACTTGATGCCTCTAGGAGAATCCTAAGTCCATTAAGCCAATTGGATGGTGGCAGATTGCTCATTTATAACATTTCACTCTTGTATATGATTAGTGTTGTAGATCTGGAAGTTTTATTTTGTAGAGAAAATATTTCAAATTTTAGAGTTAGGGAGCTATTTTAAATCAGAATCCACCTATCTTGGCAGTGACCAAATTAAGAGTTCAGATTCTGTCACTCAGCTATGTGACATATATGACTGTATGTGTGATCACTTGGCTGTTCTCAGTGAAGGTTCTTTCTAGTAGCTGTCTTTCAAAGGTGATTCTGGGAGTTAAGTGACAACTTATATAAGGGTATGGCAAAATATAAAGCCCATATTGAAGGAATGTTGCATGTTAGTGTTAATGCTCAATATTAGGTAAGATAGTAAGTTCTTGCCCTCTGGAAATGCAGCATCAGAGGGTAGGCTGGGCATGATGGGACCACAAACTGCCTATTGATGCTGCCTAATTTGATCATCAGGACCAGAGGCAATGTTATTGCACAGTAGTTAATGATTCTAGAAACAGGATTATTCTGAAACCACTTTTGATCATTTACTGATTGTTATATACCTATTTAGGAATTAAAGCATTACACATTTTTAAGTTCAGTATGCTAATAAAATTGCCTACTTCAAGGAATTGTTGTAGTGATTATTTAAAATGTTTGCAAAATTCATGATGTATAATAATGTTAGCAGCAGTTTTTATTGCTGTTCTAGAATACTTATAGTCACATTTTTCTCTTAGTATTCTATAATACTTTGTTCTAAGTTAACTAGTTAACATTGTTTAAACACCAGGTCTCTTCTGTTATACTGTACAGTGTACTTTGGTTCATAAACTTAATTCGTTTCATGATCCTGGGGAGAATGACCACATTTGTGTTCGTGCAAAAATGATGACCACGGTTGTATATCACTTGATGCAGAATTCTCAAACAAAAACAAAATTTTACCAAATGCTTCTGTTTGCAAACCCCAGTTGTTAGCCAACAAGAGTATTCATCAACCGAGATACCACTGTAATCATAAAAACAAAAATTTTGAATGAATTTTAAAGATGAACTAGCTCACATTCATTGTTCTGTGGGTTAAGAAACCGAGCCAGAGTTATATAGTATGCCTGTGATGCATCCATGAATCAGTCACACAAGCTGGGACATGAATCAGGTCCCTTTCCATTCCAGAGTTCTCTCACTCAGTCTTGAAATAATTTGCCAAAACCTACCCTGAGACACTTAGCTATTGCATTGGCCACAATTTCAAGCAGAAACTATAACTAATAGTGTAGAAATTACCATTTGGGGAGAGTATTGGGAAACAGGATCAGCTTAGAGCATATGCATGTCTGAGAATGCCACAGTGAAGCCCATTGCTCTGTACAGTCAGTATGCACTAATAAAAAAATGGCAGACTATGTTATAAAAAGGAATACCATGCCTTTCTCTTCTGCCTTCTGAGGGGGAACTGGTCCTAAGCAACAACACATGTACAGAAGTAATAATAGATGGGCAATAAGGAAATGGATAATACATAAACATATAACTACCATCAAGAGTTTCTTATGCAGACAAATCTCTTTCTGTTTATTTTGATCTCTATTGAAACATAAAAATAGATTTTCATTATATATATCATTATGTTTGGAAAGGCTCCCAAAGGGCTAAAATTTTAGTTGATGTATATGTAGGGTCAGTAAAATAAATAGGCAGACATGAAGTAGAAGGCAAGGGAGAAGGATTTCATACTGAGGGAACGGCATGTCCAGGCCCTGAAGGGCAGAGTATGATCAGTCCTAAGAATTGAAAGGCCTGCAGAGTATTTGGAACAGAAAAAGCTAATACTAAATGCAGGACCTAGTTATGAGAATGGTGATGATATTTAATATGCATCTTCAAAGAAACTGGTGAAAGAATTGAACCTCATCCACAAAGTAATTCTGTTCTGTTAGAATTTTGTTGTCTTAAAGATTCACTTAAAAAAAGAACTACTTAATACTACTTCACTTGTCTATTAGGTAGAGTTATACTAAGATTTAGTCAGTTTAAATATGTATTATTTTTTTATTCCTTCATACTTTTCATTTACTTTTCTATATTGTTTCACAGCAAATTGAAATATTTTGATGTGTTGTGGTGTTGAGATCAGGGATTTTTGCTGTTGAACAATCAGAGAAATGACAGAGTGAATGTTATCCTGATTTTTGGCTGAGAATTTTGTGTGGGTGTGTGAGGTGCAGCTGCATTGTACATTTCTTGGCAGTCAAAACAGGGCAGTTCTCAGTGTAGTTCATCTTGAATAGGAAGAAATTTAAGAGTAAAAAAGCTACTTTGAATGTATTAAAATGCAGTGGAAGCACCCAGGCCTGGACCTTTGGTTCACATCTTCATTTATTTGGCTAAATGGATACAGCAGCCTCAGGCCCATCGATAGGCTTTATGACAAGAACACAAAACAAAAGCCAGTCAGACCTTTCAGTATAAAATTATCACTTACCATGTAATTTTTACATGAAGTTTGTAATTGTTTGTGATTTATGTAAGTTTTTTTCTCTAAGAAGACAATGAAAAAGGCAGATTGTAAAAACCTAGGTTTGCATGCAAATGTGAATTTAGAATTGTTTGTAGTTTATCTTTTCTCAGATGTGTTTGTACACAGATGGATTCTCAGATCTGCTTTTATTTCTCCCTTGTTTTCTTCATTCTGCTGTGTCCTCTTGTGTGGTCTTTAAGGACTTTTTTTTAAAGGATTTTTGTTTTTCAAAATTCTCAAATTAAATGCAGACAATATGGAAGTTTTCATTTTTCAAAATACACTCATCCTTTCCTTTGGATAAATTTATTATTACCTTTATACTCCAAGCAAACAAAACTCTCGGATTTGTTTCCAGCATTTAACTGCTTCTTTATATCTTTACTGTCACTGAGTGATACTGTTTCAGAGCAGTGTAGAGTTGGATTGTGACAACTCAAATCCAGCCTTGTTATTTACTCTGTTGGTCTCATTAACTTCTCAGTTCCTCATCTTCATAATGGAGAGAGTCATGTTAGCACTCTGTAAGTTTTTTTTTTTTTTTCAGGCTTCAATTAAAAAGCACTTCAGAAGGGCTTAATTCAAAATGAATGTCCAGAGGAAAAAATGTTATCATTTTGTCCCTTGTTTAGTTCCAGTCTCCTAGAATCTGTTAATAGCTATCTTCACTATTTTATGTGATCTAATTCTAAGATCATCTGGATTCCCCGTAAATATCTCTTTCCTGGGGCTGGGGATTTAGCTCAGTGGCACCGCCTCCTGCCTCACAAGCGCAGGGTCTTGAGTTCAATCCCCTGTACCAAAAACAAAACAAAACAAAAAAAACTCTTTCCCTACCTTCATTCTCTCCTAAGCAGTACTCCTGTTACATCATTTACATTTAAATGTCCAAAAGCAGAACTTTTGGTCAATGTCACCTACTTCTCCTAGCTTCCCCAGTCTATTCTTTAGTCTTTTCTGCTCCACTTAATGGCTCCCCTTGTGTTAATCTTCCATTGCAGTAAGAAATACCTGAGATAAATAAACTTCCATGACAAAAGGTTTATTTTGGCCCATGGTTTTGTTCCAGTCCAAGATCAGGTGTACACATTACTTTTAGTTGTCTGATAAGGAGCAGCGCATCATGGTGGGAGCATATGGTGGAACAAAGCCTTCTACCTTATGGCCAGGAGGTGAAAGAAGAGACCAAGGTCTCGGAGGGCACATCCCAAATGAACTACCCTTCCATTTCAGCCTTATTCCTAAAGTGGCACCATGGGCTGGTGACAAAACCTTCATATGAGTCTTTTGGGAACATTCCAGTCCAAACTTAACATCTCTGTAGTGTTGGATTTCCTCTGTACACCAATCCATGTCTACTCATCAGCACACCTTATTAGCAGTATCCCCAGAATGTATCTGGAATCTGGCCATTTATCTCTCCTCTATTACTATCACAGACTGAGGCAGTAACTTCTTTTGCTGGAGCGGTTATGTATAGAAGGGTCTTCTATTTTTCTCCATTTCCTATGCAGTTCATTCTTAATAGTGAAGAGTGATATTTTAGAAACAGATTATTCCCCTTCTTGTTGAAATTAGAAAGAAAATGTCTAGTTTGTTGAAAGTCTTTTCATGACCTGGCCTCTCGCTTACTTTTTGCTTCTCAAACACAGCTGGTTTATTCATTTTTGAAAGTTTTTATACTGGCTTTACCCTCTGATTGGACTTTTTTCTCTTAGATCTTCAGAATATGGCTCCTTGACCTTCTGAGGTCAACTCCTCAAAGAGGCTTATCCTGACATCTTTCTTTTCTTTTCTTTTTCTTTTTTTGTGATGCTGGGGATCAAATCCAGGGCTTTATGCATGCTAGACAGACATTTTACCACTGACTCGCTGCCATATGTCCTGTGCTTAGACTGGAACCTGATACTCAGAAGTTTTATTACAGTATTACATGGATGGGTGGCTAGGTGAAGAGTTGAATAAGTATGTGCCTTGTAAGTTTTCAACAATAGGGAAAGAGTGGAATATTTCATTCTCTATAAACTCTGTAATGATACTTATTTTAGAATCAGTCATGATTTATATTTGTTATGCTAGTACTTGTCTTAATTGATTTTATGTATTTCTTTTGTTTTAGATTGTAAGCCTTTATGATAGGAGGCATATCTTACTGTTTTTAGCTTCTCAAAGTCTGCTAGATACCATTTTAGTACTTATTATTGATTAAGTTGAATTGAAAATTCAGTCTAACATCTTTATTTCCTCTAAAATTACGGCATATATATATATGTGTGTGTGTGTGTGTGTATGTGTGTATGTATATATGCATATATATATATATATATAAATAATTAATTCTGAAGGCACTGTGTTCAAAATGCATCTTTTTTTAATCTCTTATAGTTCATAATTGGACTGTTGAGGATACCGTTCAGTGGTTGATAGAATTTGTTGAACTTCCTCAATATGAAAAGAATTTTAGAGACAGTAATGTCAAAGGGACAACACTTCCCAGGTGAGTCTTTGTTATCTAGATGTTTTTCTGCTCATGGAGATTTATATATTACATGTCATTTTTGAATGCTGAATCCACAAGTTACTTCTGTAGCTGAAGGCACAAGAGAAATATTATAAATATATCCATTCTTTAATCTTTTTAAGTATGTATTCTCAAGTTTTATTCAGTTTTTCTTATTTACATAACCAGGCCTCTTAAAACTTCATTCCTAAGAAAAATAATTTTAAGAATTGCAAGGTGAATCAACTATATCATCTTTAGGTAATATAAAAGGTTCAACCTTTGATTATGTAGTAAAGCTAAAAAAAATAACTCATTTGATACAGATCTATTTTCACAAAGACACCTATTTTAATAGGGTAAGGCACAGGTCCTTTTTTTTTTTTTAATTGAGTTTATTGGTACATTCTAGGTAGACAGTACAGTTACATTCATTACTGGGATCTTGTACCTTTACATGCCAGGTCTTGGTTCTCATTTTTCCCCTTGTCCCCACCCTCCCTTCACCCCCTTCTCCCCTCCCCACTTTCAAGCACTTTAATTCCATTTTTACATTTTCTCATATTTTTTCCCTTTTCCCTTGTTCCCCTTTCCCTATCCTCACTGTCTCTACACCTTTGGTCCTTTTCTTCCTATTTCACGTTGCTAATTGTCCCGTTAGGATCTTGAGTACTATTTTACTTTTTCACACCAGAAGAACTATTCGGTATTTGCATATGTGTGACTTATTTCACTTAGGAGTATATCCTCAAAATGTACCCATTTACGTATGATTGAATCTACTTTCTCATTCTTTATGGCTGAGCAGTATTCCATTTTATAGAAAACCCACATCTTCTTTATCCCGTTTCTAACTGATGGGCAGATGGGCTGTTTCCAAGTTTTAGTTATTACAAACTGTGCCACTATAAACATGGGAGGCACAGATCTTTCTTAATTGGTATTTTTTATTGACAACCAATTAGTCATAGTGTCTGTGTCAGTTATATCTCAATTAAAAATGAGTTTAGTAAACAAAAATAGCAACCATTTAAAATTGTTACATAGAAATACTTTATATTTTATTTAAGCCTCATTATTAAAATGAGTTATATATTTTACAGGCTAAAAAATACCAAATGAGAGGCAAGTTTTTTCCTAAGGTAGCATTTAAACCTCTAGATAGATCTGTTAATAAAATCCGTAATGTTTTTTTATCTCTTTGATACCTGGAACCTATTGTTAGTTTTCTGAATTATATATATTCTAAATTTCCATTGTTTAACTTGACATTCTTTAAATATTACAGCGTTAAAATTTGCAGTGATTCTGCCAGAATCAGTTATAAGATTGCTTCTTATGTTCTATTTCTCTCTGAATTGTTTTGTATGTCAGAAAAGATTCTAAACTGGGTGCAGCGATGCATGCGGGTAGTCCTTTGCCCATATGCTTCTGTTTGTGAACCAAATTGTTTACAAACAAAAGTGTTCATGAACTGAGGTACTATTGGGATCGGAAAATATACGGGAAAGGTAATCTGTGGAAACTCGAAAGGGGGCATTTTGAAAAGGGAAAGTTAGAGCTCTGTAATTCTTTTCCATATCAAAGGTACTGATACCTTCCTAAATAATACAATGTGTCAGAGTAGTCTTTAGGCTCATGCATATTTGAAGCTTGCCTCATACTAATTATGTAACCTTGGGCAAGTTACTCAGTCTCCCACAAATATTCTCATTTGTAGAGAAACTATATATATATATATTACAGAGTCTGCTTAAGTAATAATTAAGCTATTGGTGATTGTTATTTTCATTGTTAATTATATTAGTATTATTAGATTTTAAGTTACAAGTTCTTGCTTTCTTCCTTACTAATAATATTGTTCAAAAGTGCTTATGACGAAACTTCCCCACAGATCCAGTTCAACCCAACAAGGCTTCTTTTTTTAAACTTAGGACTTCAGTTACTTTGTTCAATTTTTAAGCAAGTTAAACATTAGAATGTAATTTAGAATGTAGAGTTTTTAGGTTTTTTTGAAAGTGGCATGATCTAAATTGAGAACTGTTTTTAAAGTCTGCTAATGGTATTTCCAATTTTGTTCTTTAAGAAATAGTAATGAAATGCCAGTTATTTACTGTGAATTTCTAAGTTGTAGAAACTTACAGCAAAAAGTTAACATAAGAAACATTAATATAGCAACTAAATAATTAATATACAGTAGTCTTTCAGTGGCTAAGTTTGCACTGAAGTATGATAGAGCATCAAATCATATGTATTAACTCTTAATTGTGATCATCACTAATATATAAAGTATTGAATGTGTTGTCCACATATTTAAATGGGTGTACTAGAAATATTTTCATTTAATGTGTATGTATTTTTTAAATGAACAGGATAGCAGTGCATGATACTTCGTTTATGATTTCCCAGTTGAAAATCAGTGACCGAAGTCACAGGCAAAAACTTCAGCTCAAGGCACTGGATGTGGTTCTGTTTGGGCCTCCAACACGTTAGTATTCTCTCTCACTTGGAATATGATTTGGACGCATAGTATGACCATGTCTTTATTATTTAAGGAAGGAAAAAGTAAGAAAAGTAATAGGCCACTAGGAAGAATCATTATGTTAATTGTACAAGAAATGCAATTCTAAAACAGAGGCTTTATACTATGAATTTTTCTGCATTGCAACATGGAATATGAATTTTTGAAGCTGGTTAATGTAAAAAATTGTAAATACTATGATTAAATGATTTTAGTAATTTTAGTAATTTAATTACTCATCCGAAATATGACTTTTTAAAGTCGTATTTTTACAAGTCCTATATTTTTAAACAAAGACTCACTTAAAGCTTTATAAAGTAATAAGACTTCCCTGGCAGGAGCGTAATATTTGATTATTTTGAAGAGGAACATTCAAGAAAGTATTATGCCATATCTGTAAAGAAAATTGTGTATTTCTTTACTCTGACAGGAGTAACTTCTTCCCCCAGAAGAAAAGTTCAGTATGTTTATTTCATTAATTACGAATTTCAGAGAGCAAAAGTACTTGAAGAGCATATATTGTTTTTTAGAAGCCAAAAAGGAATAATAAAATTAATATAAGAAAAATGGTTTTTCACAAATGGCAAATTGGAAAACTCATGTTTTATTTCTACCTAAATTCTTGGAATTGGACTTTTAGGTACCTATGATACTGGTAGTCTTGAGGATGGCCATTCTAGAAAGGGTCCAGTAGTTGAGTGGATTCCATCACTTTACTGGTGGGCTTTTGTTTGTTTTTGGCTCAGGCTGAGAGAGCAGCTGGTGAAACAGGTGGAACTTTCCTTTGTAAGAGTTGGTGGAAGTGTCTGGATTCACCTCAGTGGTACTGCCACCTGCCTTACAAGCTCTAGGTCCTGAGTTCAATCCCCAGTCCAAAAAAAAAAAAAAAAAAAAAAAAAAACGTTGGTGGAAATTACAAACCCTAGGAAGGAGAACACTGTTGAAATGCCAAGCGTTCCACAGATAATATCCTCTTACTAACCTTTTCTTTGTTCTGTGTTCTAGACTCAGACAACTGGGGAATTGTCTTCTCTGAGATTCGAAATGTTTTTCAAGTAAATGTTTAGTGACAGTAGGAATTAAACTATAGATTTTACTGTTTGGTCTGGAAGTTTTATATTTTCTTTATTAATTTTGGGAGCAAGCCACTTTCTAAGCCAGATATATTATCAAGTTATTTGAAAACAAATCAAACTGAATTTAAAGAATGTCGTAAACAAATATTTTAATAAGAAAACCAGTTAAGAAGTTAATGATCCATTACCTTGTAGGGTTTGTATCAGAATTATTATTTGAGTGAATGAGTACCATAGTCAGAGCTCCCATTCTAGATTCATAAACTAGCATTATCAAGTGAGCAGAGATACATTTTAAGGGAGTGTTCACTTCAACCTTTTCTAGTACGTGGTGCTTATTACAGAGCTTGGGACCTGTCCGTCTGTTTATTGCTATCCCTGGTGATTACGTTCCAGCCAGTCAGAGAACCGGACTCTTTGTCAAAGTAGAGCCTGAGCTGAATTTCTAGTCAGAGGCAGAAACAGGGCTTGTGACACTGTGCCCTTGGTAGTGCACCTCTTCCATCAGATGGCAGAGTGTGTTCTCTGGAAGTATGGATTGTTGAGGGTCCCTGGCATAGAGCTTACTACCTACTATACTGTGCAAATACAGACCAACCTTAGATTTGTTCACGTAGGAACATGGGCTATCTGCAGAGCTCTGCATCTTACCAAATGTAGTCTCCCTGCCTGAAGCCTGGGTATATAGGCAGTTTTCTTTTGTAAACTATGAGTATATATCTCTCTGGAACATTGAAATAATACATTATATTGTGCTAATTATCATTGTCTTCCTTCCAGAGAGTCCCCTAGATATTAGTGAATACTATCAGAGCTAAATTAAAAAAAATATTAGTAGAGTGGGTTTTTTTTTGTTTTGTTTTGTGAAGACAGTAGGTCCTATTGCATCTGTCCTTACTTTAGAGGCAGTGCTGAAGCTGACATCCACCGTTGAGCACCACTGATGAACATAACCAGTTAAATAGCTATCTGCATGGGGAAAATGCTTTTAGGAGAAATGCTGATGGCCATTTTGTGTCTCAGTGATAGGTGTCTCGTATAACTAAAGGAAAAGCGTTGGAATGATAACAGTGACACTCTGTGACTCCCTTCACCTGTAAGGCCCAGTCTAGCAGCATCTATGTTGGATGCTGTTGCTTTTTAAACTATGACTTTGGTTACCACTTTACTACCAACTGGGCATGATGTGACCATGTGTGTTTATTTCTCCCTTTTTATAGGTTAATTATATCAGATACTGCCAGTAAGTATACTGATTATTTAAAGAAAGAATTTTTAAAACATTAGTGTTTATGCATAGGAAGATCTCTAGTGTTTTTGTTTTCATCTTCTATTAAGAAATTACGTCTATATTGAAGTTCTGTTATGCTCAAAGGTTAACTATCAGTTATTCTCTTCATAGGCCCACCTCATAACTGGATGAAGGATTTTATTCTCACTGTTTCTATAGTAATTGGTGTTGGAGGGTGCTGGTTTGCTTATACGCAGAATAAGACATCTAAAGAACATGTTGCAAAAATGATGAAAGACTTGGAGAGTTTGCAAACTGCAGAGCAAAGTCTAATGGACTTGCAGGAAAGGTAAATTAAACAACTCATAACTATTTACATAAATGCAGTTTGTGGAAATGTAATATGAGCATGTGTGTAAACAGATATATAGGTTGGTACATACAGTAGGAATGTATGCCTATTTGATTTTATATTTTTAGGAAAATATAACATTGTCACAACTATGGATTTATTATAAATGGTATTTGAGGATAATCAGTAGAAGATCAGTGGAAGTAAATCACATATAGGTGGAAGTATATGTGTAGTGAAATTTTATTTTTAACTTGATTTAAATAATTATTTTAAAAGTCTCTTTCCAGAAGTTTTTCACCTATACCTGTCTTTTGAGCTCCAAATAACCAAGATAGCTATAGAGTGGATTGCCTGATATTTTTATTACCCAAATTGATAATTAAGAAAAAGTGCTGTGAATTCTGATTAAAATTAAAATAGGTATCAAATTGCATGACAGTATTTTTGCTTTTATTAAGAAGTGAAATTTTCTAAATTTTTGAGGATTTTTTATTGTCTCTAAGGCTTGAAAAAGCACAAGAAGAAAACAGAAATGTTGCTGTAGAAAAGCAAAATCTAGAGCGCAAAATGATGGATGAAATCAATTATGCAAAGGAAGAAGCTTGCCGCCTGAGAGAGCTGAGAGAGGGGGCTGAGTGTGAGTTGAGCAGACGACAGTATGCAGAGCAGGAGTTGGAGCAGGTACTCATGTTCTGTTCTCATTTTGCTTTAAAATTATCTTTTAGTTTTAGTTTATTAGTACATGTGTACAGTGCAAAATGTGTACATTCCTTGTGTGGATTTGGTGCATGTACACAACACATCCCAGTTCCTTTTTTTCATCCTTTATCCCTTCCCTTCCTTACCCTCCTTCCCTCTCTTAATCCGCTTGTCCTTTGAACACACGAGGCCATAATGTTAAGTGAAATCTCAGATACACTAGTGAAATATCACATTACTTATCTTATATGAGAAACCCAGAGGAAAAACAGAGTAAAATAAAGGATAGGTAATAGGTACTTATTTTTTTAAAAAGCATTTGTTAGGATATTTTTGTATCACCTTTTCAAAGAGGCAGGTGATGTTTTTATGTATTTCATTCCCTTTAATTCCATTGTGTACTGTTCCTCAGTTACTAAAAGAATCATCTGTTCATATCGTTAGCATTTATCAAAGTCTGTTTATTAAAAACAAAGTAACTGAAGGTAAAGTTGTTATCATAGGCATTCTTTCATGAAATCTTTATACTCTGTTAATGTCTTAAATCAATTTAAAAGTAAACTTGTAGGGAAGAGATAAAACATTTAAGTGAATAAACATCTACAAAGTGTTTAGGGAGCACATGTAATGTGTTTTAAGTTTATGTCATGTAGTCAAATAGAGTATATCTCATTTTGAACTTTTCTGCAAAGGTAAAGGTTCTCAATTAGGCATCAATTTCAATCCCTTAAACTGGTGGTAGAACGAAACCTACTGGAAGTCCTGAAGCTGCTGGGGAGATGCGTCCTTCCTAATATCTGCTTCTCCTTTTCAGTTATTCAGAATAGAGTATAGGCATTCAGTTATTGCACAGAGCCCTTTTGAGAAGGTCGGGTCCTAGGAGAATTGTACGTGTATGTATTAGATTCCTGTTCCTGCTTTAAAAAATAATTACCACACACTTAGTAGCATAAATAAACATACAGGCACTATTTTTAGCTCTTCTTCCTTTCTCCTTCCTCCTTCCTTCCTCTTCTTCCTCCTTTCTTCTTTCTTTCTTTCTTTCTTTCTTTCTTTCTTTCTTTCTTTCTTTCCCTCTCCTCCCCTTCCCCCCTTCAAACACATTTATCCCATTGTTCTTGCCACTTTCTGAAGCAGTTTTGAATTTCACGAGTGTCTTTACAAGGTATGATAAAAAATTTGACTGCTGTTCCCAAGTTCATGAACAGAAAGCCAGGCTCCTAAAGACATTCTATGTCCTCATTCACCTCATTCACCATGTCTGACCCTGTGCCACTTCCTCCCCTTCCCCCCTTCAAACACATTTATCCCATTGTTCTTGCCACTTTCTGAAGCAGTTTTGAATTTCACGAGTGTCTTTACAAGGTATGATAAAAAATTTGACTGCTGTTCCCAAGTTCATGAACAGAAAGCCAGGCTCCTAAAGACATTCTATGTCCTCATTCACCTCATTCACCATGTCTGACCCTGTGCCACTGCTGGCTTCTCCCCAAAGTCAAACGACCATTAAGGATAACATTCTGGATCAATTCAGGATGAGCCACAGCAGCACAGCTAGAAACACTCAAGAAAGAGAGGACTTCTAGAACTGCTTCAGGAACTGTTCGAGGGGCAGGGAGGAACAGTTTGAGGAAAATTAATGGCAGTGTGTCTTTTATAGTAATAATTTTTAAAAATTTAAACCTTGATCTTATTTTTTGAACATACCTTGATAGTTTTCACTTAATTTTTTTTCTTAAAAACAGTTTCAAGAAGCTATACTCATTGTCAGAATACATAACAACACCCCTGTTCTAAATGAGACAGTAAAACAATAGAGGGAAAGGAATTTGCTTTTCTAGAGGTAATAAATAATAAAATTGAGTCTAGAAGCCAGGGTTTCAGATTTTTAGGCTGTTTCTCTCTGTGACGTGTTGTAGCCTCATTCTTAACATTTAAAATTATGTAAATAATTATGTTTTTACATAATAATTCATAGTCTGTAGAAGTCATTAACTACTCAACCTTATTTTGTCCATTCTCATAAATAACAACGTATAATTCAAACTGAGAGAGGTCAAGTGATGAATTTATGAGTAATGGAGAAAATAGTTCAACAGTTAACCATTATTGGAAGGTTGCAGTTTCACAAGTTTAAAGCATTATTTAACAGTAAAAATATAGTTTCTGTATTAAATTTATCACTATCGGGATTTTTTAGGGGAAATGTATAAAATATTGTTAAGGAAAGTCTTTATGATTATATAGAGAATGACTTGAATTGTTGAGATTCTTTGTCTACAACCTTGGAAATGAGAATTTTATAGAAATTTTAGTTTTAAATATTGTGAGGAGTTTGATGACACACTTTGTGTTGTTATACAACCACATGTCACAGGACCTGAGATCAAATTTTCTCTTCCTGTGAGATTAGCAGGGACACCACACAGCTTACCCAACCATCTTATTAAACATGTTTTGTCCCAAGCATGTAGCACAGTGAACCATGCCAAGAAAAAATGGCCTAGAATTTATTTTCAGTGACTAACTCCTGTCTTACCCTTACTTTTAAAATGTTTTTTAATGTTTAATGTTTTGAATCATCTACTTACTGTCCCATTGTGAATGTTAGTTTTTAAATTACAGTTAAAAAAACTTCTTACACAATTCTTTTTTCCACAATACCTGACAGCTGTTCTATTTCTTTATCAGAAGTTTGTGTATAGTCCTCTTAGTTGATTCTGGCACCTGATAAAGTTCATTTAAATAAGCGGGCTTTGTTCAGATCAAACCTTCCTCTGCACTTTCAGTTTAGAAGTGAAGTTTCAGTTACCTTAGAGCATTTGAGAGCATTTGATTTGTCTGCAGTGACAGTGGGCTTGTGGGAAGCAGCATGCTCCGTAGTTCACTCATTACTGAAGGTCTTGAGTTGTGTGTAACTTTGTAAATTCTGTCATGTGTAGCTTGCACTTTTGCTAGTTTAAGTAAATTATTCCAAGAATATTCTCTTTTCTTTCCATGTCATTTTGGCAGTGAGGCTTTCCTTATGATATTTTTCCTCAACCCTTATTATCAAACACCCACTAAGCATTTTAATTTTTGCTGTTTTATTGGCTGGCTCCTTTAAAGGGCAGGTGGGTGAAATACTACAACCTCCTTATACTGGAAGCTGCCCATGGTTTTTCAGGTAGATTCTTACCCAGAACCTATTTTCTCACAGTTTGTGTATTTTTTAAGTACTGCATATCTACTTATAGAATATTAGAAGCAGCAAATTAAGTAGAAGAAATGGTAAAACTGACTGTAACAGGTAGATACAACAGTGAGAAATAACTGGTCATAAGGAAAGTATGTAAAAAAACTAAAAGAATACTTTTTAAAAAACTGTTTAGTTAAGGAGCTACAGCAGGACCTTTTGAGACATTTAAGAGCAGTAGAACAGATCTTACCTGATTTGGGACACTTCTTCATATTCTGCTTGAAACAATGCATAATGGGAAAGTGTGATCAGTTTGAATCCGTATATGCCCTTCCTTTTTGTTTCAGTGAGTTCGAGTACTATAAAATACAAAAACTGATTATCACAGAGTCTCGCCATTACCCTCTCTGGCATTACACTTATTCTTTATGAATTTAAGATGCCCTTAAAATTTTAGCCTTAGTGTTTATGTGTGAAATATATTGTATTTAAACTTACTGATTTAAAAAGAAATTTTAAAGAACATAATTAAAGTTCCTTTTCCTTTTAGTTTGATACTGAAAAATATTTTAATCCTTCTTCGTTCCATGATTTCCTTTTTCCAGGTTCGCATGGCTCTAAAAAAGGCTGAAAAAGAATTTGAACTGAGAAGTAGCTGGTCTGTTCCAGATGCTCTTCAAAAGTGGCTTCAGTTAACACATGAAGTAGAAGTACAGTACTACAATATTAAAAGACAACATGCTGAAATGCAGTTAACTATTGCTAAGGATGAGGTATTCTTTTTTTTTCTTTTATTGAGTTTATTGGTACATTTTAGGTATACAGTACAGTTACATTCATTATTGGGATCTTGTACCTTTACATGACGGGTGGTCTTGGTTCTCATTTTTTCCCCTTGTCCATGGCCTCCCTTCACCCCCTCCTCCCTTCCCCATTTACAAACACTATTTCCAGTTTTGGGACACTTCTTCATATTCTGCTTGAAACAATGCATAATGGGAAAGTGTGATCAGTTTGAATCCGTATATGCCCTTCCTTTTTGTTTCAGTGAGTTCGAGTACTATAAAATACAAAAACTGATTATCACAGAGTCTCGCCATTACCCTCTCTGGCATTACACTTATTCTTTATGAATTTAAGATGCCCTTAAAATTTTAGCCTTAGTGTTTATGTGTGAAATATATTGTATTTAAACTTACTGATTTAAAAAGAAATTTTAAAGAACATAATTAAAGTTCCTTTTCCTTTTAGTTTGATACTGAAAAATATTTTAATCCTTCTTCGTTCCATGATTTCCTTTTTCCAGGTTCGCATGGCTCTAAAAAAGGCTGAAAAAGAATTTGAACTGAGAAGTAGCTGGTCTGTTCCAGATGCTCTTCAAAAGTGGCTTCAGTTAACACATGAAGTAGAAGTACAGTACTACAATATTAAAAGACAACATGCTGAAATGCAGTTAACTATTGCTAAGGATGAGGTATTCTTTTTTTTTCTTTTATTGAGTTTATTGGTACATTTTAGGTATACAGTACAGTTACATTCATTATTGGGATCTTGTACCTTTACATGACGGGTGGTCTTGGTTCTCATTTTTTCCCCTTGTCCATGGCCTCCCTTCACCCCCTCCTCCCTTCCCCATTTACAAACACTTTATTTCCAGTTTTTCATTTTCTCATTTTTTTTCCCTTATTACCTTTCCCTAGAGGTATTCTTTTTTATTTCAAAATTCATTAAATTTATTTCTTAGGCTGCATTTTTTTTCCCCCTGGTACTGGGGATTGAACCCAGGACCTTGCACTTGTGAGGCAGGTGTGGTGACACTGATCTATCCCTGACACTTAGGTTGCATTTTAAAAGGGAATAATCAGCTGAAATGCAAAAATTAAATAAAAATTTTGGTACTGCATGTTTTTTTGAATTAGAATTTATTATATAAATTGACTCAAATAATCATAGGTTTTAAAGTTATTATATTCAAAGAAGTATGTAGCTCTTAAAATGAGCTTAGGGCCCTTTAGAAATTATCACTCGTGTCATTATTGTAAATGTTTTATATGGAGTTTTTGTCCTCTAGGTTGCTGCTTCATATCTGATTCAGGTTAGTAGTTGCTAGAAATTAATGTTTGCCACTTATTAAATTGTATGGGATAAGAGTGATCCAAATTTTAGCAAAAAGGAAAAACATAGATGCTCATTTCACTTACTAACTGTCCATTGCAGTAGGATACAGTTAATGTTTTTCTGTGAGATATAAAAGAGATTTTGGACTTTCTCATCCAGAAAGAAAAGTTCTCCAAAACAAAATTTTGAGTTATATTGGTTGGTTTAGGAAAGCATGCTTTCTCATCTGTTTTTCCTGTTTTAGGAAACAGGACTGTATCTTGACTAATAATACTCCACTGGTTTTATGATAATTAATTCAAAATCTAAGTAAATTTTACTAGTATATGGGTATGGTTTTTTAACCCTAGCCTTATTTTTCTCCCCTTGGGTTTCTAGGCAGAAAAAATTAAAAAGAAGAGAAGCACAGTCTTTGGGACTTTGCATGTTGCACATAGCTCCTCCCTAGATGAGGTCGATCACAAAATTCTGGAAGCGAAGTAAGAATGTTATTTTGAAGATTTATTTGCTACTATGTTAAAATGCATACTTTGCAGACAATCTGTGTTTATCACTGTATCATTCACAATTACATAATTAAGACTAATTCTGAGATTGAGTAATTCCTTCTTGAAATTAGTTAACTGCCCTAGTCTTTTCATGTAATTGTCCTCCCGCTTCAGTGCCATGTTAAAGACTCCTTGATGCAATTAGTAATTGCTGTATTGACTTTTCAGGAAAGCTCTCTCTGAATTGACAACTTGTTTACGAGAACGACTTTTTCGCTGGCAACAGATTGAGAAGATCTGTGGCTTTCAGATAGCCCATAACTCAGGACTGCCCAGCCTGACCTCTTCCCTTTATTCTGAGCACAGCTGGGTGGTGATGCCCAGAGTCTCCATTCCACCCTATCCTATTGCTGGAGGAGTTGATGACTTAGATGAAGATACACCTCCAATAGTGTCACAGTTTCCTGGTAAGTGGTGAGTTCAACAGAGTGTTGGTATGGGTTTTGAAATAACTTTCTATCATGTCCTTCTAGGAATCATGCACTTTGAAATCCATGACAAAAATTTTGTTCACTTATTTTCCTCTATGTTGTTACTAATTTATGTGCTTGCTACTTAAGAATGCTATGTGAGGCACACACAATATATATATATTTATATTATATATTACATGTTTTTCTTATATACGAAAATATAGTTACTATTAAGTAACATGAATACTTGATTATTTTGTATAATTGATCACAAGCAAGTCTTATTATAAAGTGTTGACTGTATGACTTTGTTTTTAAAACATTGCTTACAATTGAAGTGACTCACATTAAAAACACCGTTGACAGTAAAGACAGTACAAATTTTTGTAAGTATGAATTGCTGAGCTTTGAGGGAAGGCATCCTTTCAGATGGCAACTTGATCTATAGTTAGAATAAAAATTAGGGGAAGATCGTGGCAACCTAGATTTAAATCCTAGCTCAGCTACTAATCCACTGTTGACTTTGAGTCATCATTCCCGGTAGTCAACGCTTTTTAGTTTGTTGTTTTGCCTTTTAAATTCTGTCCTTTTGTTGAAAGAGTATCATCCTGCTCTGTTTACCTTATAAATACTGAAACAGTATGTCTTTTAGCAAAATTAAATTGTATTTGTTTGGAAGCTTATAATGTCTTTAATTGCTGAAAGGCAGAACTCTTTTCAAAGGTAGTTTTTTTTTGCATATTTAGTTTTTATTAATTGCTGAGTTGTGGTCTGGGCTTTTAAATATTTACATGGTGAGAATACATTTCAGTAAGAAGGAGAAAGTTAAATATTTTAACTTTGACTTTATGCAGAGTTAACGGAGTTTTTGAATTTATAGTGGTGTCTTCCTTGCTATTGTGTAAGTGCTTAATTATTGCCTACTTGATCAAATTTTTTCTAATATTTTAGACTTTTGAAAAACTGTAGACAGAACAAGGTTCTGAAGACTGGAGAACAGAATTTAATTCTTCCTTGGTTGAAAACTTACATAGAAATTTTAGTTTTTAAGAATAAATCATATATGAGTATTTTCCAAACTAAATTTTTCTAGCCAGTTGGTACAGCTTTCTTGAAGTTAGTTGTATAAAAGATCCTAATTGTATAAAACAATTACATAAAAACCTTAATTTGAAAATCATTTCTCTGGCTTTAATTCTCTGGTTTATAGGCCCACTGATAGTGCTAGGAAAGTGAGTAAGGAGGCAGTAAACTCTTAAAAGCCGGTAGAAATGGAGAGATCCTAAGTGCTGCAAGCACTGGAAGTGGATGACTTCATTCTTTTCACTTGCCTCATACTGCTAGAAAGCGAAGGCTGCTAGATCCAGGCCAGCTGTACAGTTTCAATATTCTAGGTGTGTTCATTTGAATTATATGCCCCTAACCTTGTCAAATATAATACTGATTCATACGTATATGTGTTTGAAAATCACAGCTTTCTGAAAGTTACAATTTCCCCCTAAAATCTGTAATTATTCAGTCTAGAATTGTGCTTGAAGATGCATTTCCCAAATTAACTAGGTTTTTTTTTTTCTTTGCTTTTTAATTTAAAACATTTTATGGAGGAGGGTTGGGAAAAATCCATGTCCATTTAAAGAAAAAACACTAAATGTGAATAATTGGCTCAAGTTTTCAATGATTTGGATTTTTAAATATGAAAAAAGTACAAGATTTAGTTTGAAGTCTAATCTTTTTTAGAAATGTTGTAATCAGATTAATTATCTCAATACCATACATTACAGCTGGAGAGCTCTGCCTCCACCCAGTGGCCTCACAGTGCTACTCCCTTCTCCCGACTGTAAAAGCCTCATTTATGGACCTGATAGCCAGGAAGCTGCTCGCTGTAGCTGTAGATGCAGGGCTGGTGTGATGGTGCTTCCTTTTTGTACCTCCTTAGCTGCTTTAAATGTTCTTTTCTTTTTTTAACCATAGGCATGTATACATTGTATGTTGGTTAAATGACAAAGAAACAAGTTTGTGGTATATTAAGAACAAAGTAAAAGATCTTACAAGATTCTATACACAGAATAATATTATCTGTGCTTAATTAAATATGAAGAAAAACAGGAAAAATATAAAATTAGCTCTGTGGGCAGCAGAATGGAGGATAGTTTTCCTCCTGATTTTTATTATCTGCTAAATGTTTTCATAATGGGACTACAGTAGCAGTTTATTTAAAATTTTTGGTAAATCCCTTCACGTGTACTTAAAACTACTGAAAATAATGGGCCCATTCATCAAAAAGATAATGAATTTTAACACTTGCTTTATTCACTCCTTTTTCTCTGAAAGGAACCGTTACACATATAGGAAAAGCACATCCCCTTTACTTTCTGCTCTTCTAATATTTGTACTATTCTGAAGCCTGTTGTAATATATACCATTGTTGTATATTTAGATATTTACATAAATGTAACCAAGTTGTAGGTACTGTTTTGTAACTTTTTGATCAAAAATGTTTCATCAGTTTCCCATGTTTATGTATAGGTTAAATTAGGAATGAGTTAACCACAGTTTATTTACTTATTTATTGAAGAACCATAGATTATCTATGTTCCACTGAGGGATTTTTCTATTTCTTTGACCAATAAATAATATTGCAACAAACATTCTTACTTGTATCTTTTCGGCATAACTCGTGAGTGTTTTTCTACTTGGACACCTAGAAATGGATTTCTAGGAAGTGGGAAGGCAGCTCTTCCTGGTCATTGCCAAGTTGCTCTCAAAATGATTTTGTCAATTTACCTGCTCACTGTAAGAGTGCTTTTGTGCCTGGGATATACCCACGTTCATTCTTGGAAAGATCTGATTAATTTGTTTTGAAACTTGAATAAGTTCCTTAAGTTTTTATTACCTCATTGTCTGCAGAGGCCCAGTGCCATTTTATCTGTTGGCATTTGTCATTTTGACTTCTTCCTCTCCGCTCTTTGGAGAAACTGAATTACTTAACTGATTTAAAACTGTTCTTAGTATTTTCTAGTTATTTGAAGGTTGCAAATATTTTCTCCTACGTTTTGGCTTTTTTAATGACAGATTCGATACTCTGACTTTTGTTTTTTATGTCTTTTCAGAAGATACTGTAATAGATTATTGTCTGTACTCCAAAACTTTTTAAGTTTCCTTTAACTTCTTACTCCTTTTATCCTCCTAGAAGTTATTTTTGTTTGTGTGAAGTTGGAGTATAAATATATCTCTTGCTGTATGGATAAAGAGTTCTAGCCTCGTCTCTGCTTTATCCTTTATAATATATAATAACCTCTTCTCTCCATCAATCAATATGTAAATGCTTCCAGCCCTCCATTCCATTCCATTGGCTTCATTCTGCTTTAATTATAGCTTTGTAGGAAGGATTGATACTTGCTAGGACTAAATCATTTAGTATTATTTAAATTCAAAATTCTTACTGTTGACCAACTATTCTTGAGTTTTTAGATCAGTTTATGAAATTCTTTGGAAAGTTCCACTGGGAGTTATTTTGGTGGGGGGAGACTTTCTTTGAATTTGTTGATTTGTTTGAGGAGACTCACTATTAATAAATTCCATTTATTTAGATAAAGTAGATAATTTCTTTCTTTTGAGCAGCTTTTGCATGTCCTTTAAAAAATTCATCTATATGTACTTTATAGTTTTTTGGTATTCAAGCTTTCTTTGGAAAATTATGAAACAAGTTGCTTCTTGTTTATGAAATGTTGATTTTTGTATGGACAGAAAGTTTTTTTTTCCAATCCTTGCAGCCCCCTCTACTTCCCTCTCAACCAACTTTACTGTCCAAACTGAGACCTCCAGTAAAATAATTGAATAGAAGTGGTGACTGCGCGCAATAGGATTGCCATTTCTGTCTCTAAAAAGAATACGTAATATTTCACCATGCAGTATGATTTTTTTTGCTAGTGTTTTTACTAGTTTGCTTTTAAGTTAAGGGAATTTATTTCTATTCCCATTTTCTAAGAATATTTTTTTCTTTTAAATGATTGTGTTTTCACTTTTATCAAATTGTGTTTCTACACAATTGAAGGTAATCACTTTTTCTTTATTCTATTGAATTTTGATCTGTTTAAATAATTTCCATTAAGCATTAGTGAAAATATAGTTGCCTGTTTCCCCTTCCTTCCTTCCTTCCTTCCTTTCATTTTTGTATCTTTAATAGTGCATGATATTAACAATAATTTTCCTAACACTGTCTTTGATTTTTGTACCAAGGATGTACTGATACCCTAAAGTAAGCCAGAAAATACTCCTTATTCTTCCATTGTATTCTTTTCTACTTTTACAGAGGTAGTATAATGTGGTTAACAGTTGGAACTGTGGAACAAGATTGCATATGCTTGGCTCCTTAATTCACTGTATTTTAATTTTGTAGCCTTGAGGGTACAGACTGTGAGTGTGTCAATTCTCCTATCAGGTGTAGCTACCTTGTGGGAATGTTTTAAATTTTAAATTGAATATACCTGTAAAACACTAAGAAAAGCCCTGCCTTATAATAGTCACCCAAATGATGTTACAAATTTTTGCTCTATATCTATAAAATGCCTATGAATTGAACTTGATGTGAATGTATTTTGGTGGAAATGAGTAGGAGGCAGATTTTAAACTACTGATTCAGTTTCTTTAGTTGTTGAAAGATTTTTTTTTTTGAGTCCTCGATTTGATGATAGCTGTTCTTACTGAAGTAAAATAGAACCTCAGTGTTGTTTTTATTTGCATTTTTCTAATGGCCAAAGACAGTGAACATTTTCTTTCATGTATTTTGGCTATTTGTTGTTCTTTTGAGAAATGTCTGTTCATTTCAGGTTTCCTTTTTTAATTGGGTCTTTGCTTTTGGGAATCTTAATATTTTACGTTCTTTATATATTCTATATATTAGTCCTCTGTTCGTGGAATAGTTGGCAAAATTTTTTTCTATCTCTAAGTTGTCTCTTTACTCTTATTTCTTTTGCTGTGCAGAAGCTTTTTAA